TATTTCCTGAGCTTTGGAACACTTGTCAATATGACCTGAATTTCTGTTGATGCAGACCTTTAATTTTTTTTAATGAAGAATTCATAATAGTACTCATTGTTTGCTTCTCCATGTCTTGCTAGGCCATTATTAATATTATCTGGAGTACGTGATCTGCACAGACCCAGCAAGTTAGGTACCTTTATTTTGCTGATGAATAGCAGCAGAAGGGATTCACAAAATACTTTAATGTGTATCACCTAGGAAGAAATGGGGTATGTTAAATACACTTGGTACATGAATTGTGTTTTCATTATTACACTCAAATAGTATAAAATATAATTAATGGTCTTTGAATTTTATTGATAATGACTAATAAGAAAAAAGATCATTAAGCTGGATAAGGCCATAAACATTACTGTTTTGAGAATGGTTTTAAAACATGCGTTCAAATTGTATTTGTAGGATTTTGATGACAATACAGAATTATGATTAGTGATGAAATACATTTAAACTGGAGAATGATTATTCGGTTAACTAAGGGTTTGCACTGATTATTGTCACTGATTTTTAAAGTAAACGTAATAGTAGATCATTACCAAAATCCAAACCCCACAATCCAGGCCAAATACTATTGAAGTTTTTCATAAGCTCCTCTATAGAGGAATGGACTTTACTGTAGTAAGAAAACAAGCAGGATTAGCCTCTTCATTGAAATGACAATATATTTATTTTACTGTGGAGCACTTGAATTTTGCTGATACTTGATTACATAAGCAGCTGATCAAAAGGTTTGCCTCTCATCTGCCCAGCCACCTAGTCTGTGTCTAACTGCAGTCACGATGGATATCAATAATTCTCAGGAGTTTAGCAAGCTAGTTAACAGGTGGCCAGGAATCACAAAGTTCTGGTTTGAGCATTCTGACAGATGAAGACAGGTCAAACAAAAGTATCTGCTCCATTAAGAAAATGGGTATTTTACAATGAATCATTATTATTTACCACCATGATTAAAAAGGGGCATGACTCATCTCATCAAACGTGATCCCGGAACAATTATCCAAGACAGTGTGTGGTTCCAAATTACGCATTGCCTCAAAGACATTCCTTGGCCTTTCAACAATAAATAAAAACAGGTGAATCAATTATTTTTCTTTAGTTAAGTATAACCATTTAATGGACTTCAGCTGACAAGTCATTACCCATGAAAATTATGAAGTATATTAATGACACTGATTTTTGAGTGCTTGTTAACACTAGAAAGTTATCCTGGATTGAAACAGACTATTAATTATAACAGCTATTTTTAAACAATGCTACCTGTGACCCTGCCTATTCCAGAAATGAATGTCACATTACAAGGACATGAAACCACTTTCAGCTATTTCTGAGTAACGCCATCAGTAAACAAGCCCTTTAAGCCTATCTTCGACTTTCACAGATTGTCCAAGATACAAATTTGGTCAATAAAAACAAAATGTTCTTTTTAAAAGTTAAAAAAGTCACAGCCAACAAACACAATGTAACTTCTAAACAACTCGCTGGTTTCATGTCTCTGTCTGTCTCCTCCTCCCACCCAAAATAAACAGATCCAGCTTGCAAGATGTGCTGACCAGTAATGAGAGACGCGGCACATCCATCACACCCACTGCCTCAGGGGGAGGTAAGAGCATATAGGTTTTTGCAAGACTGTGTTCCAACCACAGTTACAAAACTGAAAAACCTAGAGGAAGGCAACAAAGTATATGATGGGCATTTATAATTCCTAATACAGGTCCCTGTTTCTACCCTGCCAAAATAGGGTGAAAGGAGAAACGCTGAAACAGTGGTTCCCAAAAGCACCCAGGGTGTTTTCCCTGGAAGGAGAACAGTCAAACAGGCAGTGTTTTCGTAGGAATATCTTATGACTGTGTTACACAGCATCTTATGAGAAAGTTTGAAAGTTGTTGGAAGAAATATTGTATTACTACTCCCACAGGAACCAGAGCTGTCATTATGCCATTGGCCTGCTCCACTACCATATATGTTTTACACTTATTAATTCTCATGGTGGCCCCTCAACATTAAATTTACACCAACTATGAATGTTACCCCATCAATATATTTATATAAATTACATTAGATAAGCCTACTCTTAACATGCTGGGAGGCTCCTTTAAGTGGTCTCACATAGTATTTCTTGTTGCATTCTACAGTGCTGCTGATGTATGCTTTGCCCCTCTAAAATAAGACATATCATGATATCCAAACCTTATATGTATATTAAAATGTCTACTGTTTCAAATGACAAGTAGCTTGCACCTTCTCAAACTCAGATACAAAATTAAGTAAGAGTGGAAAGGGCATAAATATTTTAAAAATGCACCATGATTGTAATTAGTGTACAATAAGAATTTACTGCCCTTTTTGCATTTAATTTAATTATTTATATAACAGTCCTAACTCTATAGCTTAGCATGAAGGGCACATGAGTAGAAGAGGGAGAGAGGCAGTATATTAGAGACCTTCTTCAAATTCAGAAGATGACTGGTTGTCATATACACATATTTAGCTTTATCAAATATGTATGGCCAAAATTACCGAACTTAAATACATAAAGTGGGATATTCCGATTCTGCAGCTTCAGTGGCTTAAGAAACTTCCAAGAATATGTCCAAGGAAAACCTTGCTCATTTGGCTTCATTTGGCTTAGGAGAGAGCCAGAACTAAGATATTTTGCCTTATTCAAGCCAGATGAACTGAGATAAATGGGACAACTGAAAGTGGTTATGGTAGGTAGAATTTCAAAATAAGATCGGGGGAACTTAATAGAAACTGAAAACTTGGGACCTTGAACCCACCTCGGTGTCTATTTTCTTGAAAGACATGATCAAGTTTTAAACACAAAAACTTAAATTTAAACATAGTTTTACAATATCTACCATTAAGACAACTGTTTTCATAACTATTTTTGTATTTTAATAGAAAAAGGTTGTTGCTGACTCGGGTTTTATTTCATGTATTTAAACATAGCCCTGTGATATTTTGTGACTAGAGACATTGTGGTCATGCCAATGCACAAGGAAGAATGAGGAAATGCAACCCATTAAAAAAAACCAAAACCCTGAAACCCATTCATTCAGTAACTGGCAAAGTGAAACGCCAAAGCAAACAAACAGCATCAATGGTGAAAAAAAAATGAAAATATTAAATATTAAATTGGCTTATGTTTTAGTCACCTGAGGTATCATAAGCAACACAGATAAGGGTTTTTTTTAAGAATATATGACTTTAATTGACTTTGTCCCTTTAATGATAAATTTACAATGAAAATGACATGTCCACCATAATTTTGAAATACAACACAGCTACCACCGATTTGCTGCAAATGCCTTTGCTTTATGTTTGTGGCAGAGGAGTAAATTTGACAAAAATAAATTCTTATACACATCCACCCTTGTGGGATTAATATCAAGATGGAATATTTCAAATTAAACAAGTGAACATAAAATTATATAGAATAATATAAACATTCATTCTAGATCTCCTCAAGCAAGATTTCCCTAGCACACTGTCTAATACGCCAGCCTTCATAAAAGAAAAGTGAAGAAACAAGATCTGTTTATTGAGAATGAGGCAAAAGGATGCAATTGACATTGGCCTGATATTTTACCTCTTGTCGGCTGGGGTAATAACTTTTCCTAACCTCCGATATCGTTGTCAGTCCACCCCCAGAACTCTGAGGCCATTTGTGTTTGGGAAGAGCACACACGGCTCATAAATGCACAGCACTCGTGCAACTTCTAGTGCATTTGCTGATTCTCTGAGGCCCCTCTCCCAAAGGCGGTCAAAGATCTTAGTGGCAGCTCTTCCAATACTTGCCACGGACAGGTCAAGTGGACATGGTTTTATTTAATTTGCAAGAGGAAGAGTTTGCTCTGTCATCTCTCCATGCTCTCACAATGTGTACTCAAGCATTAGTGGACAAATACGTCAAATAAATATCAGATAAAAGCACCCAAAATACGCTCGGTAATGCAAAGAAAGGATATATTTTAGGGTATGGTCAGAGAAGATATTCAAAGCCTCCATTGTCGCTTCTAGAAATGTCAGGACAATTCAGAAATGTCAGTTCCTTTACCGGTTTCCAGATTGTGATTGAAGGATCATGTAGCTCTCTCGCTCTTTCTCTCTCTTTCTCTCTCTCTAAATAGGTCTATAAAGATCAGCTGGAAAGTGCAGACAGAATTGTTCACTGGTTAGCTTTACTTAGAGCTACAGGGTATATATGTGCTTTGTTTTGTCTTATTGATCAATCTAGCTTACATTTTTAGCGCACACAAACAAAAATCAGGAAAAAGTAAAAGTCGATGAAAAACACGAACAACACAAAACAAATAAGGTTCCAATCGTGCAAATTTTGCTTCACTGGATAAAGCACTTCTTGACACAGTAATGTCCAGAATCCCCCTCCCCCAGAAAAATACAGGACTGAGACTGAAGCCATTCTTTTTTTTTTTTTTCTTTTTTTTTTTCTTTTTTCCTTAAGGCTATACAACACAAAGAAATAAAGCATGGAAAGAACACCTCATTGGGCTGAACACTTCATTCTTCTGGCTCTGGAGCGAGCCTTTGACAAAGCAATTGTGTGGTCCGAGTTATTTGTCTCATTGGGACAACAACAAGAGAAAGAAAAAGAGGAAAAAAATGAAAGAGAGGAAAAAAATAAAAAATAATTAGAAAGTCAATGATCCCAACAATAAAATCCGAAATTGACTTTACAATCACAGGTACAAATTGCTCAGGTCGATAATTTCATTTCTCCTAAAGATCACTGTCGTCTAAAACTAATTAGAGGCGCAGGTTCCCGAGGAATTGTCAATATTCAAAGCAAATGTTGGAGTTTAGAAGGTTATCATTCTTCTACCGTGACAGTCTGACGGGGTGACTGGAAATATTGTCATGTGCTGCCAAGTTCAGGGTGTTGTTAACGATTGAATCCTCGCTCCGGCTCATGGATCTGTCTCCTATTTGGCCTTCTTTTATAGCGGAAAGACTAAGAAGCCGGAAAAGGTTGAATATTTCCACCCTCCCATGAGGTTACCCCTTTCCAGTTTGAGATGCACTTTGTCTTCTCTTTCCATGTGGAGCAAGACCCCATTGCTGGCTGCTTCTCTGGTGACGTCCTGATCCCCTGCAAAAGCTGAAATCACTGGGTAGCCGTTTTGCATTAAACTTACCTAAAAAGTGCAAAGAGAGAGAATCTGAGTTTTCTCAACACTCTCAATGACTTTTTTTGCCCTGTGCACATCACTAAACTTTTGTGCAGTCTAGATACAAGGTTGAATTAAGCTAAGGCAACGTGTGATTTCTGTCATGCATACAGACCCCCTTTAACTAAAGTAACCTACAGTCTTGTTCTCCACTTGCTGGTTTTGTAAATGCACCTTAGTGTCTAGAAATGAGCATTCAGAAGAAAAAAAAGGAAAGACAGAATCTTCTTTAGATCACAACCCACCTGGATGGTTTGTCTGTTATAGACCTTGACCACGTGGAAACTGAAACTATATATCCCTTTTCTTGGTGCTACAAATATACTGGAAGCAAGATCAAAATGGTTGCCAATATTAACTAATACCTGGAAGGTAAACAAACAAAACAAAACAAAAACAAACAAAAAAAAACCAAACAAAGAAAAAGAGAGAAAGAGAGAAATCAGGCCTCACTTTGGAAATGTGCCAGTGAAAATCTGACATGAGCTCCATGACCGATATAAAGCCTAGTTAAAATGGCATTTAGAGCACAATTAAAAGTGCACTGCAGGGGAAAGGAGCCAAGTTACAGAGGCAATTAAAAAGCATCACAGTTCATAAAACGATTTAGTCACGCAAAAATGATCTCCAAAGCCTGTTAGGTGAAATGCACATGTCCACACTGAACTGTCAATAAAGCAAAGGTGGCAGAAGCAGAGGGGGGGCCGGGGCGGGGGGTGGAGAAGGGAGGTGGAGGGAAAGAATGGAGGGAGGGGAAAGGAAAAAAACCACCCTGAAACTCATCAACTCATAATGCAAATATACGTTTTTAGTTAGCACTACTGAAATCAGACCCGTCCTGGAGTTTAATAGGGTATAGAACTAAAATCGCACTGCAGAGAGGGGTGAAGGGGGAGAGAGGATGCTCGGCAACAGCAGCATCTGCCAGCTCATGCCCCTCTGTCCCTCGGGAGGGCTCTGCCGCCTGGCCCGCACCCTCCTCAGGCGGCTGCGGCGGGCCTGCTCCTCCTCCCCGACGGCAATCTTAATTTGTCTCGTATTTCAAAGTCTTTTGAAACAAAGAAA